CAAATTCTTCTTTCTTTTGTTGATCAGGTGGCAGTGAAGTTCGTCAAGAAATCAGAGGATATGAAATACATCAACTTTGTAAGTAGACTGCTTTCTCTATATTTTCCCCTGAGTCGCTGTATTCAGTATTTGGGAATCCTCCTCCGTCTAACGATCATAAAAACTGTTCTTCCTTTAGCCTGAACATCTTCCATTGGAGGTCGCTCTTTTAATCCTCGCGAATGAGGGCCCCAGAGTTCCCCAGATCATCCAGCTGCTGGACTGGAAGGATCTGGGTGAATACTACATCATGGTTCTGGAGCGGCCCGTTCCCTGTGAGGACTTGCTTGATTTTGTGCAGCGCCACGGAGGCAGAATCGACGAGGAGTTGGCTCAAGTTATCATGCGGCAGGCAACTCAAGCCGCTTATATGAGCTGCCAGCGTGGAGTGCTGCACCGGGACATCAAACAGCAAAACCTGCTGATCAACAAGGACACCCTAGAAGTCAAACTAATTGACTTTGGGTGCGGCAACCTCCTTCAAAGCGCGGCCTACACTACATTCATGGGTAAGTATTGAAGCCATAGAACAGGAATCACTCAAGTATCACGCTAACGGACACCTAGACAAAATGCTGTGGTAATGCAATGCACATAACAAAATCTATTTCTTACAGGCACACGAATGTACTGTCCACCCGAATTTCTATCACAGGGCAAGTACCACGGGGAGCCAGCGACAGTATATTCATTGGGAGTGCTCTTGTTCTCGCTAGTATGCGGGACATTTCCAGACAGACACGACAAGATTATGATCGATCTGAACCGTTGGTTCATAGCTGGCTTGTCACAAGGTGAGATTTGCATGACAACAAAGGAAGCAGATTGTAGTTCTAAATCATACAAAAGAGAACAAAGAAAGAAGACGGGCAACAGAAAAGTGTAAATAATGCAGGATTGTTTTTCAGATTTTTAACCTCTGGTCATGTTGTAAAGTTTATAGTAAAATAATGAAGGTATGA